AATTTATGACATAAAAGTATCAGACAAAAAAAGTTTTATTTCATCATTGCATTGCATTACAGATTTTTTAACATTAATTTGCACATTCATTGCAGACGTGATAGGTTGATGTAAGAGCTCCATATATATAACTACGGGCTATATGTATGAAGCTTTATATAGAAAAACAAGTAGTAACTTAAAAAATTAAAAACCTATAACAGAGAAAATATTTATTGATGCTAACTCATAATTTTTGATATAAAACATCTTCTTACAAATTATTAGAAATTATATGATATCAAACCAACAAAAATTATAACTGTCCTCCTCCTACAGCAGGTGAAGACTTCATAAACGTGTCGTCGGCAAGGCAAGAAAAGTAGAAATCTGTTTTCAAGTAAACACTGGGTTAGTTTATCAGTTGTATTCCATTAGTGGCCATTAGATGTATGATAGAAGAAAAGAAGAATAATGATTTACACAGATAAAAAAAACTTGGTTTTTCCTTTTTAATAAACATTACCTATACATTTAAAACTAACCTTAAAAGGGAAATCTGATCACTGGGTTTATATGTTACATTTTCTTGTCATAGAAATGGAAATGTCTTCATATGCACTTTGTCCTTGTTCTTAGAAATTTTACATTTGTTACAGTGCATGTAATTATTCATAAATATAATAAAATTGATTCTCTAATTTCTTTATTTTGCTAAAAAAAATATGCAAAGTGAATTTAGCGTTAAAAAAAAGATACATACCTGTATTTTGTTTCAGCTTAATTTTGTGAAATCTGATCCAAACAACAGAAAAGAAGCATTATTAAAATGTGGTTATGGAATTAGATGTGTGTTATATTTGCGTTCAACAAGAAATCCCTGTGTTTATTTAAAAAAAAGTTTACTTTGTATGACTGACATAAAGAAGCAGTGACGTGAAATGTTTGTTTTATCGTTCTTACTAAGCTGAAGCCATAATCTAAACTTTCTCTGATGTTTGCAAGGAAATATTTGCACTTGCTTTTTGTTTATTCGTGTTCATACAGGTTGTATTTTATTTTATGTTCCCTATTAAAAATGTATATTTTTGTTTTTGGCTAATTCTAAATAATAATAATAATAATGATAACAAATATTTGCACTTAATGATCTTATAAGTGGTAACTCACAGCTGATGGAGAGGTGTACTGGATCACTGGTAACAGTACTGACAGGGTTGGACACACGACACCTGAATGGTCCCTGGTCAGAGCGGGTCACATTGATTATAGTCAGACTGGAGCCTCCATCAGTGAGCTGAACTCTGTCACTTGCTGTAACCTCAGAGCTGCCGTTCAACCAGAGGAAAGAGAGAGAGGATCCAGAGGCAGAGCAGGACAGAGAGACAGAAGCACTGAACTCAACCAAGTCTGTGCTGCTGGAATTTACCAACACATTGGAGACTTTCTCTGTGAAAGAAAAACAAAACAGTTTCATTATTGGCATCAAAAATAGAAAATAAGCATCGAAACAATTACAAATTAATTCCAGCTAAACCATGTCATGTTAAGGAGGATATATTACATACACAACCTAAAAAGACAGAATAGCAATAACTGAAAGAAATACTGTACCAATCAAAATCTTGAAATATTTTCATTTGTAAAAATAAATAAATCAACTCCCTTTAAGTGAATATTCTGAACAGAATAAATGAGACAGTTGAGTTCTCAGCTTGTTCTTTGTTCTATGGGGATCAATATTACCTTCAAATAAACCATTCAGTTTCTTACAGCCACTTTTTAAAGACTTTAATATCACAGTCTTAAGAATAAGACAAAGTATTGCAAGAATGCATTACTGCAGTGAGTAGAGATGTAACAAACATGTACAAATCATTACAGGTATTTTTACATGTTCAATATATTGTAAACTTGCTTAAATATTGCAAAAACACTTAAGCTGTTGAATTTCTACATCTGCTCACCGTATATCACCAGAGTAGTACGGCCATTCTGGGCTTTTCCATCTTGTATAATGTTAACATTGTATTCTCCAGTGTCATCCAGAGTGAGACTCCTGAGCTCCAAAGACGCAGTAGATGGGAAGAAGGTGATCCTGCCTACATACTCAGGTCCAATAGTTTGTTCTGAGTTAATTATGACTATTATAGGCTTAGATAAATTAAAACTCCAGCTCACAGATTGAAACGGTTTCTCTGATGGAGACAGTGTTGTAGTGAACATCACAGTTTCTCCTACAGCTGCATTCAGATCATCAGGCAACACACCAACTCCTTCAGTGAAACCTGCGGGAGAAGAATAGCAAAGTGTTGTTGTTACTCAAACATATAAAACAGTTGATGAATATATAAAGATTTGCATGAAATATGGCAGGTCTGAAGAGTTTGAGTTATCTTTATTAAAGCCTAATGTCAGCTTTTCCAGATAATACTGCACAAAACTAAGCATTACTAGAGAAGCCCCAAGAGAATTATACGGACCATGGCACTGCTCTCCTACTCTCATTTAAAACACTTTTGTACAAACCTGCTTCTTCTCTGATCTATGTTATCTGAGCAGGACATTTTTTTTCTGTTTATAATATTAAGGTCACATTATGATTAAACATAAACTAGAAATGTATTCAACAGATGTCTCATGAAGTGAAAAACAAACAATAAACAAAGTAAAACTTTAAAGTCAGTGTGAGCAGACAGTTTTTTCTGCCACATCAAACAGTGAGAGCTCACCTGAGATGGACCCAAAAATGAAGAAGTATATCACAAGTGTATCAGAAAATGTTCCCATTTTTTAAAGCAGTCCTTCACTCTTTGCCTTTTCCTTTGCTGATACCAGTACATGAATGTTCATTCAATATATGGTGTCATAAGGAAGTAATGTTGTTATTCTGAAAGGTTAAACTTCATGAACTTGTTACTCATTAACAAACCTTTCTACTAAATGTTTGTGTCAGATTCTGTTCAGTCACATTAAGCTTTCCTTCTGTACTGTAACAGCTAGTTACAGGATGTGTCACTTGGAAGAATTCAACATGATTTATTGTCAGAGAGAAATTAATTGATCTATTTTGGCAATTAGGCTCCAAGGACCCATCACAGCAGTGATAGAACACAAGACAGGAACCCAGCCCGTCCCAGAGTCTAGATGTTGGTCGTGAAGATCAACCAGTATCACACCAAAACGGGTAACAGACACGCTGGTCCACCTTGTCCATTTCATGCTTTGCCTCTCCAAAGGAAATACTGGGATGTGAAGTTGGAGATGTTTTGTGTGGGTGTGTGTGGAATTGTTGTCATAGTGATCCAACAAAACCATCAGGCAACACACCAACTTTAATTAAGCATATAGGAGACATTTTTGTTTGACTAAATTAAATTAAAACATTGCATTTGAAAATGGAAAAAAATAGCTGTAATGTTTTTATTTAAGTGTTTAATTGGAAGTTCACCTGCAAAAAATATATATAAATTGCTACAAGAAGCAATGATGTGACACTGACAGATGCAGGGACAACTCCAGACAACAGAGCCAAAAGAAGATACAAAAGAAACTTAACAGGTAAAAAACCTGACCAAAGGTTTTTCTTGTTTTCCTAATTTGTATCACCCTGTCTCCTCTGTCCATCTGAAATTTAGAAAAATATATCTCAAGTACTCAGAAGCTTTTGGAGGAGCTATGATGAAGGATCAAAGGAGTGTCCTTTGCAGAAATGCTTTCATTCAGTGTCTAAAAGAGGAATGATATTGTTACGCCCCACTTAAAAACAAAGTGTTGTCTGGGATGGGGAGTAACAAAGTGAAAAAGAAATGCTAAACTGCCGCAAAGTACATTTATTACACAAAACAACTAAAATAAAACTGAACACAGGGAAGCTCTTTTCTTCAGGGTCTCCAAGGCCAAAACAACAAACAAAGCACCTCCTTTCTAACTAAAAAACAAACCAAGGACTCTCTACCCAAAAACAACAATACAATGGCTGAGCTCCCTGTCCAGCCAAAAAACAGGAGAAAACAATTGCAACAAAAGAGCTTGAGCTGCAACACACCTCAGCTGCGGCTCATGAGGCAGACCTGGATCACAGGGGAGGGAGAAAAGGCTCTCTCACATAGGGATAGCCAGTCAGCGAATGTAACAGATACATATCTGTAATATATAAACCATGGTGTGAGGAAGACTTAAAACTTCTGTTTCCGTCTGTTTTAGTCTTTTAGGGTGATCAAAAAATTAAAGCGTTTTTGTACATCTTCATAAAGATAGCTATAACTTTTGATAGAAGACTCACATACACATATTTATGGCTTCATCTTATAGAATTCAAAATCCCCGTGCTGGGCAAACAGGTTTTAAAAAATTCCTGTCCTCCATTATTTGTCTGTGTGTAAAGGTAGCTCTAAACATAAAGAAATGTTGTGATAAAACAAAACTAGTTGAATTAAAAGAAAACAATTTATGATGAAGCTGTTCCAATGATCACATTTAATTGAGCTTTAAATCGGGCTTCAGAAGCACAGATGTATCATTTAAATGATTTTTGCCTTGACTTCTGTCTCCTCACTGATGAAGATTAAAGCAGAGAAGTAAAATCCATTAAAGTGACACAAGAAAATTTGTGTATTTAAAATTCATTGCGACAACAAGGAGATGTAGGTAAAGGGTTACAAAAGAAGAAAAGAAACAAAAACAAAAAGGAAAACTTAAAAAACAAAATAAACCCAAAACAAACAACTTGTGATTTCAACATTCAAGAATCAGTGTTCAAAGACTGAAAGAAACAGGAGCATTAAGGATTACTAGAGAAACGAATGAAAACACATCTCTCTTTATCTCATTTAATGTATACCATCAGTACATAAACCTGCTCCTTAAGACACTGATCCATGTTATCTGATCTTATCTGAGTATTCCTGTGTAGAATATTCAGGTTTCAAATGATTATACATGAACTAGAAGTATTCAGCAGATATCTCATGAAAACAGTGATATAAATATTAGCCAAACAAATGAGTTTAAGGACATTGTCATGGTCTGCGGTGGGTGGCTGGAATTTCCATAAGGCTCCTGAACTGACCTGGGATCCGCCCCTGGGCAGGGCCAACTCCAGCTCCTGCACACCTGGAGCCTATTGCAGGCAATCAAG